CCCTCCCCTCCCCTCCCCTCCCCCTCCCCTCCCTCTCTCCTCCCCCTCCCCTCCCTCTCTCTCCTCCCCTCCCTTTGTCCTCTCTCTTTCTCTTTCTCTCTCCCCCCCCCACTCCTTCTCTCTCCAAATTAAATATATAGTTTTCAGTTGAGTTGGCATTTGCTGCTTCCTGAGTGAGTAATTTTAATTAAACCCTCCAGCGTCAGTGACTGGTCATGAGTTGAGTTTTAACAGGTGTTCATTGTAAAAGCACCATCCTTCTCGATGACTAAAGTTTGATGGTCAGAAAAAAAGACTTAATTTTAACATTAAAAATAGCAGGAGGAGAGTCTGGAGAAAGAGGAGGATAGAAAGGTGGGCAGGGGTCAGTCAGTGATCAGTCATTGATTAAGTGCCGGATGCATCCCAGATACTGTTCTAATTACTGAGAAAACAAAGAGAGAAATGAGTAGTCTCTTCTCATGAGGAGTTGGCCCTTTTATTGCCTGTGTTCAGAGAAGTAAATAAAAAAAATTATAGATACACATGGTCCATTGCATTTGGATGAGTGCTCCGCCCCCCCAAACTTTGGGAAAAGTGAAGGTAGTCTAGGCTACCTAGTTAGTACTGAATTTAAAATTTCAACTTTTGGTATGCTAATTGTGTTGTCCTGGGCAAGTCACTTAAGCACCTTTTGACTCAGTTTCCTCATCTGTAAAATAAGTGAGTTGAACTCCATGACCCTAAGGTTCATGCCAGCTCTAAATCTAACATCCTATGATCTAGGTTGATTCATAGGTGCCTAGATTTGAGCTGGCAAGGGACCTGGGCGCTTATAGCAGCTGAGCATTTTAGATCCAGAGTTGACTGGGGACCTCAGAGATCACATAATACAACTTCCTCATTTTACACAGAAGGAAAGTGAGGTCCAGGGAAGGCTGGACAGAGGTCCCATAAGTGGCAGGTTGGCAGCCTTGGGAGTTTGAATCCAAGTCCGAAAACTCTTTCCAGGGCATCCCATTCCTACCCTTGCCCCTGTGCCGATGACCCCCCCCCCCATCCCTGTTATGTGTAGTATAGAAGCTTCCCAGCTAAGTCCTAAATATACTCAAATATCCCTTTTGCCTTGATCCAGTCCTTGGCACATAAAGGCTTAATAAATACTTGTTTATTGATTAACTTTTGCTTCTTAAGACTGCACACAGGGTGGTGGCTTCCTTTCCCAGGGCTAGGGTGGGGCAGAGTCCCCTCCTCCCCCCATGTATGACCCATCACTCTAGAGTTGGCCTGTGGTGCCAGGCACTAGAAACCCTGGAAGGGGAGAGACTCCCAGTAAGCTTTGTCCAAGTTATCAACCTGTCTCCCCATCTGCAAAACACAGTGGTTGGATAGATGGTTTCCAAGGGCCCTCTCAGCTTTCATAGTCATTCTGTGAGCCCTGCCTTGGGTACTGTTTGTCTTCTTGAAGTTGTGTGACTCTAAATGGGTCACATTGTCAGCTCTGAGCTCTCAGAAGAGGGGGAATGTCATTCAGCAGATGGAGCTCAGTCCTACCGGGTGAAATGAGTGCAGATGTTTAATTTCTACTGGTGAACCATTGGGGGCATTCCCGCTCACTGTGAAACTCCCCAGATACCCAAGCTGGCCCACAAGAAGAGGCCCATAATTAGCACTTACTGGTCCTCTTCTGTTTCATTCTGAAGTGTCTATGGGCTGCTGATCTCAGGGCTCAGAGACTGACTGGAATCCATCCCCAGGCCATTCTTTGAAAACTTAACTTCATACCATGTTCACAAGTTGGGTCGGGGAATTTCTCCTGAATTCTCAATGAGAAATGTTATGGGGTGGCACCTTTAAAAAGTTGGGCGGGGGAAGGGTTGGGGAGGGAGAGGAAAGATACTTTTTTTCTGTGAATTGGAACAATTAGGACTTGTGGCTTTGAACTTGGAAGGGACAAATACTGGTGTACTGCCCGAGTGTTCCTCCAGAAAGATTGTATCTGTGTAGATGGAGTTTTTCCTAAGTCTAATTGCATTTTAAATGTGCTAAGAAACCTTGCTACTTTAAAAGAAGCCTTCTGTAAAGTGAATGACACTTTTCTTGCTGCCCTCCAGATGTACACATGTCTTATAAACTATGGAAATAATACTGGGTGGGTTGTTTCTTTGAGTTGAGAGTTTCCATCGCCAGAGCAGCTGGGGTGATGAGCCTGAGATTTGAATAGCTTGGATCCATTGAAATAGAATTGTTGGATGTTCATGTACTAGATTTGTGACATTTCAGAATTTCTCTAGGCACCCCCAGCCCATGCCACTGAATATCTCCATCTCCATTCTATTAGCTCTGTTTCTTCGACATAGTTTTTGGGATTGGGAGGGAAGTAGAATATGAGGAGCTGTGTTGGTCATGTCACTTTTTGTTATTGTTGTTCAGTCTTATCTGACTCGTGACTGCAGTGGGGTCAGTCATGTGCCTACTATGTGCCAGGCATTGTTGTGTTAAATGCTGGGTTAGTGTTAAGTGTTGTGTTAAGTTTGTTGTTGTTCAGACATGTCTGACGCTTTGTAACCCCATTTGGAATTTTCTTGGCAAAGATACTGGAGTGGTTTGCTCTTTCCTTCTCTAGCTCATTTTACAAATGAGGAAACTGAGGCAAACAGGTTAAATGACTTGCCCAGGGTCATGCAGTTAATGTCTGAGGCCAGATTTGAACTCAGATCTTCCTGACTCCAGGCCTGGTGCTCTGTCCACTTTGCCTCCTAGCTGCTCTCATCACCTAGAGCTTCCGTTTTTACTCTTATGTAAAGTGTGTGTATGTAATATCTTTGGTGTGAATGAAACTGTTTTATGCTAGGTATAGATTTTCTCCTTGTTTTACTTG